TTAATGGTCTCTATGACCTTACAAAGCAGGTACACGTGTTATTATGCCAGTGACAGATGGAGAAACTGAGACACACATAAGGTAAGCCACTTGCCCAAGGTTGAAGATGTATTAAACGGTAGAGCTGGAACCCAGGCCTGTACTGAGAGGTATTCTGTGCCATGTCCCCATCTTGTAATTCTCATCTCTGAGGTTATATATCAGACACACGGGCCACACGCCCACAGGCGTTGCAAATATTATCTTATATATCCCTGGTAATGTCAACAGGAAGTAGTTACCAGCATGAACCCCATCGTTGTTGTTGTTTTTTTAAGTTTATTTATTTTTGAGAGAGAGACAGAGCGTGAGCAGGGGAGGAGCAGAGAGAGAGGGAGACACAGAATGGGAAGCAGGCCCCAGGCTCTGGGTAAGGCAGGAAATGAGGTGAGGGGGTGCCTTCCTGAGCAGGAGCAGGCTGTTAGGTATAGGAAACCTGGCAATCCATCAGGTTCATACCCCAGGTCATGGCTGGCAGGATGGAAAGGTGAGTTCTTCGTACCGAGCACCTCTACCCACATGTTCATCCCAACTCTCAAGGTGCCATCTTGTTCCCTCCCTGGCTGGAAGGTCTATGCAGATGCTCCTCTGTGCTGGGTCTTGGGAGCAGAACTGGTGGGCCCCATTTCCTCCTGTGGTGGTGTTCACACAGGACACTGAAACCTCCTTCCAGTAAAAGCTTTCAGGATTAAAATAGGTCCCAGTGCAAACAGGCATTCAGGTTTTATCTCCTAAATCTCTATCACATTTTTAGGCTTTTGAACAATAAACCACTCAGATACATTATATGTTTACTCATTCAGATCTTAGAAAACAAACTGTTTTACTTCTATCAAGAGATTTTCTCCTCTCCTTTTAAGAGTCCCTGTCTACAATTACCCTCGGCCATCAAGACTCACAGATAAGTGTTCTGTCTTGGATTAAGGGCTGTCCTCAAGGATTTTCCTACTAAATTTAGCCATGTTATCCATCTTTGAGTACATGGCAAGCATATCTTCTATTGCTTCAGTCACTCCTCTAGCCTGGAAAGCTCATTTCCTAAGAACTTTTCAGCCCACCCTTCATATACTTTCCATGTTTTGTTTCATCAACTGACAGTATAAACATTCATATTCGGGTAAAATATCTAAGTTATGCACGCTTTATCCATAAACTATTTAGAAAAGTTTTTAAATTTAAATTTTAGCTTCAAAACTTTTTTCTGAATTCAGACATTAGCCACAGTTTAAAAGACATAAATATATTCTCCTTAAACAATTTTAAATGATCATTTTAGAACTTACTTGAATGCTAACTTTATCAAATACTAAACTTCCATATATACAAGGGATTGTTTCTGGAACCTCCATATCCCTCTTCAATTTGATGGGGTTTTTCCTCCCACAACAAACTTTAGAGAATCTTTTGGTGTATTATTTTTCCATATCCTCCTTTGTGGTTCATTCCCCCCACCCCCAGAAAAGTTCTTCTCTTTGAAATATTTTGCTTCCTTGTGAATTTGAGAACATCTCCACCATCTAAAAGTTATATTATGGTTCTATTCTAAGTTTATTACATTGAATCAAATATTTGGGGTGAAAATGAGCTCTTTACAATATTGTAACCATTGATAAATACAGTATATTTTTATTTAATCATTGATTTTATTTCCTTTTTAATATTTTATCAATTTTTAAATTATTCATCACATTTGTTTTAGAATGTATAGATGTTCTTATTGTCATTATTACCTTATTTCTGATTGCTTTGAGTTTATTTTCCTGTTTAAAATTTCTTGAGGGGCGCCTGGGTGGCTAAGTCAGTTGCGCGTCCGACTTTGGCTCAGGTCATGATCTCACAGTCCGTGAGTTCAAGCCCCGTGTCGGGCTCTGTGCTGACAGCTCAGAGCCTGGAGCCTGCTTCGGATTCTGCACCTCCCTCTCTCTCTGCCCCTCTCCTGCTCATGCTCTGTCTCTGTCTCAAAAATAAATAAAAACATTTTAAAAAATTAAAACAAAAAAATTTAAAAATGAAATTTCTTGAGGTGGGAGCCTAGATTGTTGATTTCAGACATTTCCTCTTTCCTTTTTTTCCTCTAATGTTTATTCATTTTTGAGAAAGAGAGAGAGAGAGCACGAACAGGAGAGGGGCAGAGAGAGAGGAGGACGGAAGATCCGAAATGGGCTCTGCCCTGACAGCAGAGAGCCTGATGTAGGGCTCAAACCCAGGAACCATGGGACCATGACCTGAGCTGAAGTCAGATGCTCAACAGACTGAGCCTCCGAGATGCCCCACACCACATTTTCTTTATTCTTTCATCCAACAATGTACAATTAGATTGTTTCCAACTTTGGCTATTGCAAAAACTGCTGCACTGTGTTTTCTCAAATGTTTTCCTGGAACTTCGTGAGATTGAAAAAATCTTTTTCTTATATACATCAGCTAATGTAATGAATTACTTTCCTAAATTTCTAGAGTTTAAATATTTGCCACTTTATAGATAAATCTTGCCTAATTGTGATTTGTGTTGATATTAGTTCATTAATAATTTAAGAGTTTTTCCATCACATATTTTTCCATAACAGCTTTCTGTATGTGTGTTCAGGAAGTTGGCGTATGATATGGGGATTCCCTAATTCTTGAATATGTAGTAGCATTTTCTAGTAAACTTTTAGGATAGGAAGTATCTTCCTAGGTCTGAGGCAGAGAGCAGAAAAATAATGTGATTGCTCTACTTAACTATATTCAAAGAAAACTGTAGTTTTATTTAATCATTAAAAATCTTTTTTAATGTTTATCTTTGAGAGAGACAGAGTCAGGATGCAAATGGGTTAGGGGCAGAGAGAGAGGGAGACACAGAATCCGAAGCAGGCTCCGGGCTCTGAGCCATCAGCACAGAGCCCGACGTGGGGCTCTAACTCACGAGCCGCGAGATCATGACCTGAGCCAAAGTCGGATGCTTAACCGACTGAGCCACCCAGGCACCCCGAAGATTGAAGTTTTCAAAATACATTCTATTGTTGCAAAGTGAATCATTTTTATAAATTCTTCTTACAGTTTGATGACCACTTTGAAATACAAATTTAGGCTTCTGGCCTTGTGTGCATGTGTGTGTGTCTGGCTATACGCCTATATCTTAAATAATACTTAAAGCCTTGTAATGAAAAGCTACCCTCCTCTTTCTTTTCTGACTCCCAGAAACAACTTCTTTAGTTTTCTGGTTGTACCTCTGTATTTCTAAATGAGCTCCTTATACAGTGGTTTCATTTTTCAGCTTTTGACTTTTTCTAATTATTTATCTGAAAAAAATAGCATGTAGTTCTCTTACATATCTTAGGACACAATTCCCCTTGTCTGATACAATTATTTAATGAATTAATACAAACCAAAATTCAACATCTGTTGTTTTATCACATAAATGTTTAGCACTTTATGACGTGAATCCTATCCATTGATACGCCATGTAGGATAATATGAAGACATTTCTTGTTTTTTCTTTTGACCTTAAATTTTTTTTAAGTTCATTCATTTTTGACAGAGTGCAAGTGGGGAAGGGGCAGAGAGAGAGGGAGACACAGAATCTGAAGCAGGCTCCAGGCTCTACGCTGTCAGCACAGAGCCCAACGCAGGACTCTAGAACCCACCATCCGTGAGATTGTGAGATCATGACCTGAGCTGAAGACAGACCCTTAACCGCCTGAGCCACCAAAACATCCCAATCTTTTGACGTTTTAAATGGTAAAATTCTGATTTCCCTTTCTTTTTTTCCTATCAATTCATCACTGGTTTATCCCTCTCCACCAGAAATTTAAGTTTCTTTTCAGTAGATCCGGATGCATGAGACGGTTTATCCATTTCTGTTGTTGCTTGGAGACATCCCTATTAGGCTTGAGCATATTACCTACGTGTTGGGGTTATTACTGAGGATGACCATTATACACAATGCTTGCTAGCTAAAATGTAACACGGGGATTTCTGGTCTACTGCACGTAGGCTTGGGAGGGGCGTGGGTCTCTTGGAATGTCCCGGGCCTGCGTAACCCGCCAGGGCCAGCCTTCCCAGGTGTTTTTCCGGAATTCCGTTATCTATACATTGTATACAAAGTTTAACAAAACAGTAGGACACATAACCCTTGCTGCTTATCTCTGATTTGATTTGTCTCTTGGGATTGTTCACCTTCAAGTCGTGCATCTTTTTAGCATGCCTGAAATGTTACACGCCCTCTGTACACAACAAGCCAGCCGAGATTTGTGATTGGCCTGACTCTGCAATAAATGAGAATACAAGTGAGGCGAACAGGATCTTGGTCTTCGTCTGCGAACGTTGACCTCCATGCCTTCTCCTCTTTCTTAGCAAACTGTGGAGTAATCTTGCATCCATCGGCGCAGGGTTTGCTGGCCATTCCCAGCATATATGCATATACACACTATATCTATAAAAATGGAAGAGAAGAGGACGTCTATCTCTGGGCAAAGGACTGAGAGACCGTGCTGGGAGTGAGGGTATTTTACTGCCTTGTGAATGTATGACCTAGTACCCTCCCTGTCCCCTCAAAATTCTTAAAATGGCGCTAAGGCAAGTTGTAGAGAAACGAATATACGTATGGTCTCATTTTTAAATAAAGACAGCAAACATGTACAAAAAATTAAAAGCCCTAAATATGGGCACGTCGTTCTACAGCGTTATGTGAGGCTGTGTGAACCTGCAGAAAGGACTGCAGAAAAGTTGTTTCTTGGGCAGCCTGCTGCTAGTACGGTCTAGGGACCCACGGGAAGCCCCGCCTCCAGCCCCGCCCCTGGAACTGATTTCCTTCCACTGTCCCGCCCACCCGCCGAGCCTATTCCAGCCACACCCCTGCCCCGGGAATTGGTTTCCCTCGGCTACAACCCCGCCCACAGCCACGCCCCGGAACTAGTCTCCGCCCACCTCCCCGCCCGCCGTCACCCCGTTCCCGCCCACAGCCCCACCCACGGACCTGAACTGGGCCCGTCTGCCTGGCACCGCCCACAGCCCGCCCCTAGGACTGGTCTCCGTCCCTGGTGCTGACGCAGCCCAGGGCCGGGGGGCCCTCCCTCAGAGAGCTAGAAACCCTCGCCCCAGGCTGGGCGGCGGTGGCCCCCGCCCGCCCCAACCCGGAGCCCCTAAACGCCCCTCTCCGCCGCGGCTCGACACAGACCGGAACTGGGGCGAGAGGCGGCCAGCCCCAGACCGGAAGCGGAAGCGTGGGGCGCTGCCGTGGAAAGAGCCTGCGGGGCTGGCTGCGTGGGGTGCGCTGTCTTCTTCGCGCGGGACCTGCTTCACGTGGTATGTTTGGCCTCAGCGCAACGGGCCGGACTCGGTGCGCGGCGGACAGTCCGGGGGGTCCGGTAGGCGCCCAGGGAGGGGGGAGGGCCGCGGGCATTCCCGGTCACGGGCTCTGGCGTCCCCGCGTCCCCCCGTCTGTAACCGGAGCCCCGTTTCCTCCTTGGGCTGTTGCCTCCGGTCAGTCCCAGGCTGCGGTTCCTCCCGACTCCGGGCGCCGCTGCCTCCTCCTTTGAGGGGTGATTTCCACCTCCCCCCTCTCCCCCAGAGGACTTTCAGCAATGTCTGGAGGCATTGTTCGGGTTGTACAAATGGGGGTGTGGGGAGGCCAGGGATGCTGCTGAGCATCCCACAGTGCACGGAACAGCCCCCCACAACGAAGCGTTATCAATAATGCCGGGGTCGGGAGATCTGCTCTAGGGCCTTAAAAGCTCTGAAGTCCTGATCAAAGTCAGCTGAGTCGCTTATCAGCGCCCTTAAGTAACAAGCCCGTGTTTAAAGTTGAGCAAGTCACATGCACACCCAGCATGACACTGCTTTCTCCCACTTGGGGTGCAGATGGCTACGTGGAAATCAGGTAAGTCCAGTCACGGCCAACGTTGACACTTTAAGTAAATGAAAACGAAACAAAGATGAATGGGTGGTCTTTCTATCCAAGAACGATTACTTCCTATCAAAAGGCCTCAAAAGTGGTCTTCGTGCCCCCCCCCCCCCCCCCGCCCCGTCTGTGTTAAAACCAGCTTCGAGATCCCACCAGCCTTGAAGTGTGCCATCCTCCCTGATCCGTGGGTTTCTGTGTGACCAGGTGAGCACCGCAAGGACCTTGTCACAACAGGTGCCAGCAACCTCCGCTATGCAGGGGAGAGCTCTTAGTGGGTTTTCACGCTGCTCAGGTTGTAAACGCAAAGAGCCACTAAGAGGGAGGGTATCCTAAGAAAAATTATTTGTTTGATAGATTACGTTCAAAGGAAGGATACTGAGGCATGTGTGGTTATGTGTGTGGAAATAAGGCAGTAAATGCACTTATATGCAAACAAGTACACATTAAACAAATATGTAAATGAGTGTAACCGTAGAGAAATGCAGACTTTCTTGCATTGCATAATACTAGAAATTTCAGGATTTTATATAGAAAAATATATACATTTTTTACATGTACATGTAAGATTACAAGACATCCCACTGAAGATAAGCAGGACTACTCAGCCACAGTCCTTAGACCCATTCGGTTTGACCTCTAAAGCCCTACAAATCCTCCACAGAGGTTGAAAATATAGGCACATGGTGGGGGGGGAGTGCTTAGGACTTCTTTCTGTTAGTAATTAATTTAAAACTGAATTGACCAGCAACAAGATGTATTTTGAAGAAGTGATTTTCATTTCTTTATTTACTTAATGAGATTTACAATTATTTGGGGGGATATACAGCAACTTGTAGGCCGCAGGTTAGGGCACTAGTTTCCACAAAGATTGCCCTCTCTACCTTGCCTTTTGGTGGACAAGGAATTAACTTTATTTCTTCAAACTTCTCTGAAATAACAGTCTGGCGCTTCACATCATAGAGGATTCTGTTAAGTAATCTATTTAATTGTTAGGTTTTACTAATTACGAGTATGTGTGCGTGTCCCTTTTTTGTTCTCACTTTCCTGCAATGTTCTGGAGGGGGGGATGTTTATTTGTCACGCAGTAGGTATCCTTTGAGTGCACAGTTTATGGCGACCAGCCATCCTTGTGTATTGGAGAGTAAGAGGATTGCCGGGACATAGGACATTTAGTGTTCAAACCGGGACAGTTCTGGGCAAACCAGGATGGCTCAGCATCCCCGGGAGCCAGGGCCTGGGCCAGATGCATAGAGACCTGGGAGAACCAAGAAAATCTTTTTCCATGTCCATGGAATTTACATTCTAATAGGGAATCGTGATTTTAAATAATTAATGACCGGAGTGATGTGGGAGCTTGGCCCAGAGGGCTCAGTGGTGGAAACAGGGAAGCCTTCTTGAGAAGGACGGATATTTACCTGGAGAGCTGAGGTTGGGGTCAGGTTGAACTAGCTGTAGGGTTAGCTGGAGCGAGCATGTGGGAGTGTTTTCAAGAGAGTGTTTCAGGCCAAGGGAACCGCATGAAGATAACCCCTGAGGCAGGAGAGAGCCTTGTGTGCTCCACGAGCTGGGAGGACAGGAATGGCTGGGCCGAGACAACAAAGTTGGGGGGCAGGGGGTGAGCCAGCCCAGAGCAGGGTAGGCTGGACCAGATCAGGTATTAGATTTGACTCTGTTCTAGGACCAGTGGAGAGACACTAGAGATGTGAGCACTGGGAGGATGTGAGTCACAGCTGGTCTGTGCATGTGGGTTAAAATGGACTTCCGGATTAAGAAGGAAGACTTGATGGGGCACCTGGGTGGCTCAGTCTTCAGGTTAAGCATTTGACTTCGGCTCAGGTCATGATCTTGCGGTTTGTGGGTTCGAGCCCTGCATCAGGCTCTGTGCTGACAGCTCAGAGCCTGGAGCCTGCTTCAGATTCTGTGTCTCTCTCTCCTCTCTCTCTGCGCCTCCCCTGCTAGTACTCTCTCTCTCAAAAGTAAATAAACATTAAAAAAAATTTTTTTTTCAAAGAAGGAAGACTTAAGAGGCAAGACAGGGAGTGGCAAGAAGAAGTTTAGGAATAAGATGATTGTTCCCCAGGCCTGGATGATGGTTGTGGAGAAAGAAAGAAATGGGAAGAAGAGACCCAGGAGCGTAGAACTGAGAAAATGTACGATGCTTTCATTCATGCTTGTATTTTGTGTGATGGGACAGGGCACGTACTATGCCCCTAGTTCCTGTCCATGCAAACCTGCAGGCATCCCCTCACCCGAGTCCATGCTTTCCCCCCACTTTGCCACCCACAGGCCCCCTCCTCCGCATCCTGAAAGCAGTCGGGCCTGAGTGTGTCCACAGCTGCCCTGTCCATGGCGGTAGCCACGAGTCACCTGGACCTATTTTAATTAAAATAATGGGAAGAGTTCCTTTTCTCGGTCCTACTGGCCACGTTTCAAGTGCTCAGTAGCCACATGTGGCTTGTGGCTGCCAACTGGACGGAGCAGAATTAGAGGACATTTATGTCATCACTGAAAGTCCCGTTGGGCAGCACTGATAAGTGACCCATCATCCAGCACTGACATACATCCAGGAGCAGGAGTCACTGAATCTGTAAACTGAGCAGAGACCCCCCTCCTGCCTTCTTGTGAGGTTTCACCTGGCAGGAGACCTTGATGGGGGGACTCGGAGCCTAAAAGTGCCCCAGGCACCTTCTCAGTCTGCTTTTCCGCTTGGGGCTCTGGGGGTGGCTGGATCCCAGCCCTCTGACTCCTCAGCTCAGTGACTGGAACTCATCCTAACTGCAGATTGGGTCTCCAGTGGGGAGAAAGGAGACGTCTTCCACCTGCAGAAGGTAAGGAGGGTCCACGGCAGTTGTCCGGGTCTGTTGGACTCACACCAAGCCTTAGGGAAGGTTTGGTGTGAGAGGCTGTATTCGTTTACTGTGGCTGCTCTCACCACTTACCAGCACTTAGTGGCTTAAAGCAGCACAGATTTCACCTGCCATTCTGGAAGTCAGAAGTCCGAAATGGGTCAGCAGGGTGCATTCCTTCTGGAGGTTCTAGGGGAGAATCGGTGTCCATGTGTTTTCCATCTTGTAGAGGCCTCCTGCATTCCGTGGCTTGTGGCTCCTTCCTTCACTTAAAGCCAGTGGGTAGCATCCTCAGATCTCTCTCTCTCTCTCTCTCTCTCTCTCTGACTCCTGCTTGCATCACCAACACCTTCTTCTCTGACCTGACCTTCTTACCTCCCTCTGGTAAGGACTCTTGTGATGACATTGGGCTCACCTGGATAATCTCCCCATCGCAGGTTCCTTACTTTAATCACATCTGTACAATCCCTTTTGCTATGGAAACTCACATATTCACAGATTCTGAGGGGTCGAACATGGACACCTTTGGGGCACGGGCATTAATCTGTCTGCACACAGGCCTGGGAGGCAAAAATGCCCCGCAGCTCTTTCCACCTGGCCCAACCAGACCCTTAGTGGCCAAGGTTCCCCTCCCTGCTCATACAGACCCTTTATCGCTTGTATCTTTTGGGTACAGGGAAGGCACACAGAGAGACCTCAGGAAGCTGGTTTTATGGAGTGACATTTGATTCCCTAACTCCAGAGAAAAGAGGTATTCATTCCCTTTTTATAAAAAGGAAACATTCCATAGACACTGCTTTGAACATTGATTTTTTTTTTCCACTTACATTTATTGGAGGGGCACCTGGGTAGGTAACTCAGTCGGTTGAGTGCTGACTCTTGATTTTGGCCCAGGTATTATGTCACGGTTCATGGGATCGAGCCCCGAGCTCCATGTTGTCAGCACAGAGCCTGCTTGGGGTTCTCTATCTCCCTCTCTCCGCACCACTCCCTGCCACCCCCCCCCCCCGCCAATAAATAAATAAACTTAAAAATTTTTTTTTAAATATTGGAGAGAAGAATCTCTGTCAATACCTAGGGATCATCTCTTTCTTTTTTGGCTGCATGTTTCTTCATTCTGTGGATATTCCATAGTTTATTGCACTAATTCCCTATTGATGCTCAGTTGTATTGTTTGCAGTCCTTTGATATTACACGTAAGGCCATTGTGAATAATCACAGCCTGCCTTTTAGTATTTGTGTATCCTTGAGATCGGTTCCTAGGAGTGTGATTGGCAGGGAAAGGGTAAGTGATTTTGCATTTTGCATCAAATTGACAATTTTCCTTCCGTAGGAATTGTGCCCCAGTCGCGTATGAAAGTGCCTTTCCAGACATCCTTGCCAATAAAAGATGTGCTCCACCAGGTCTTTGTCGATCTGAGAGATTAAAAATGGTGTCATCGTAGCTACAGTCTCCCATCTCTGTGGTTATGAAGAAGATCCATGGCGATTCTATCAAGGGTGGCGTCCTTGAAATGGTCGTGGTGGAAGCCAGGGTGTCCTGGGTTGAGGAGCCAGTGGGACGTGAGAAAATGAGACAGAGCGAAACACTTTCCCTGGGCTCAGGGAGAGAGACTGGTACCAGAATGAAGACTGTCCTTACGATAGATTTATTTCACTACTAAAAACACTGCAGGGGGTTTGAATGGTGTGGGAGGGGGTCCGGTGGAGGGGGAGAGCGGGAGGGGAGGGCAGACAAGAGAGCTTCCCTAAGAAGGCAGGTGGGAGGAGCGCAGATCTGAGCCGCAGAGCCCGGCCCCACCCAGGAGGGGAGAGGCTCCCGGCTTGTAACCTTGTAACGGGAGGGAGGGCGGAGGCCGGGGTCACGTGGCCATTCTGGCGGCTTCCGAGGAAGGGAGATTCCTTCTCCCGGGGGTTACGGTGAGAAGTAGGAGGCAGGGCCGTCTGCCCGAACTGAGGGTGTGTGTATCTGTTGCCACCTAACAGGTTGTCCCAAACCTCAGTGACTTAAAACAATGATGATCATGTATCAGATCTCATGGTCTTTGTGGTTCAGGAGTTCAGGACCGCTTCGCTAGAAGGTTCTGGCTCGGGGACTTTCCTGAGTTCCTAGCGGGCTCTCAGCCGGGCTGCAGCCATCTGGGGCCTGGACTGGTGCCGAGGGTTCAAGGCCAAGGCGGTTCGCTCCCAGGCGGTCACGTCAGTGGTGCTGCTGGAGGGAGGCCTCGGTTCCTCTCCAAGTCGGTCCCTCCGTAGGGCCGCCCGAGCTCCTTGTAACGGGGCTTCCCCCGGAGCAAGCGGGGCGAGAGACCAAGCAACGCTGCAGTGCCTTGGAGCACCCAGCCTGGGAAGTCGCCCCCAAGGCGCTCTTGTGACCCGGGTCAGCCCGACGCGGGCGGGTGTGGACGCCAGGAGGCTTGGGTCATGGGGGCCAGTCAGGAAGCTGGTTGCCGCGGAGGGCGGAGGGGAGGGTGTGCGAGGGGTAAAGAGATTAGAGGCCTGATGGTGGGGAGCCGCACGGACTTACAGGATGTCCTGCAGGGTCAAGGCTGTTTGCATGTTGGTGACCGTGCTTCCCCAGAGGTGGCGGCATGACAGCCCCACCGCGGGCAGGTCCCCCAGACGCTGCCATGGAGCCGGCAGGTCATTGGAACCGGGCCGGGCGCTGCTCTGCTGGGCAGGGGCGCGGGCAGGGTGTGTGGATGAGGAATGTGTGGGTGAGGGGTGATGAAATCCAGGGGGAAGCGTGAGATGAGAACAGGACGTGCCTAATGCCTGAGGACGTAGCGGGGGCGGGGGAGAGTCCTCCGTGTGGTGAAAGAACACGTGAAAGGGGCGCCGGGGTGGCTCAGTCAGTTGAGCGTCTAACTCTCCATTTCGGCTCAGGTCACGATCTCACAGTTCGCGGGACTGAGCCCCGCATTGGGCTCTGCGCTGGGTGTGGATCCTGCTTGAGATTCTCTGTCTCCCTCTGCACCCCCGCCCCCAACTCACACTTGCCCTCTTTCTCTCTCTAAAAAAAAAAAAAACAACAACAAAACAAAACACACGTAGGGAAAGAAAACATGAACAAGGACAACGTTTGCGAGGCTGGATTCAGAGAGACCTTTCTCAGCTATTGTTTTAGGTGGCAGAATAGTGTCAGGTGATGACAGGGTCTAGGGTGGCGCCCCAGGTGGAAGGGGACAAACTCGTAACACCGAGGGTCGTCCTCACGCACTCTGACGTCACCCGTCATCTGAGGGCGGTGGGGCCGGGGGAGGCAAAGACTAGTATCAGCCGTCATCATCCCCAGTAACCAAAGGGTCGGACCTGGGAATGTGTTTGTGACAGCCACCTGCATGGGAAGAATGTGCCCTGAGACTCAGGGAAGCTGGGGATTTAGGTGGGGCGGCGGAGGCGTGTCCCGGTCGAACCGTTAGGACCCAAGAGGACGAGCTCTGGCTTCGCCAGCCCTGGTTCATCACCTGCTAAGTAAAGACCCAATACTGGGGACCCCACCTGCATGTTGAAGGAGGACACAACGGGCAGGCTAAGATGGGTTGGTCCACGGAAGCCCGCGGTGGGAGGGAGGCCGTGAAGGCTTCCTGTTGTCCCGTTTCCCCCAGGGCCCGGCCTGAGCGCGCTGTGCCGACCAGAGGAGGAGCGTCCGGGCTCTTCCGCTGCCTGTTGTCCGGGGAAATTCCCGTCTGAGTCACAGGATGGCGGCCGTGGCTCTGCCCCCCACTTGTGGTAAGTCGGGGGGCCCTCGGAGCCCAGGCGGTAAAGGCCCCTGCACCACGGAGCGGGAAAGGAGGGGCCGAGCGGTGAGGCCGGAGTGGAGCCAGATGCCCGGGGGTCACCGTCCCCGATGTGGTTCTTGGGATTTGGGATTTTGGTGGTTTGAGTGTCTGTGGAGATGTCACCTGTGTGGTGAGTACGGGAGAGCCTCTGAACCGTCTCTCTGATTCTTTCTATAAACTTGGAAAAATAACAGTGGTGTCCCTCGAACTTCAGTTTCTTCATCTGTGAAATGGGACTAATAATCTCTTCCTCCAGGTCAGTAAGACCCTTGGCCCTATTTCCTGGCCCTGGGTCCTGGATGAGACGGGCCACTCTGGTGTCCTGAGAAAGCTGTGTGTGTGTGTGTGTGTGTGTGTGTGTGTGTGTGTCCACCCACACTGTGTGGGGTGGTCATGGGTGTGGCCGTGCGTGTGCGTGTCGGGATGTGGTCACGTGCAGGTGGGTGGGGCAGCCCCCAGACTGGTGAGTGCTGGCATACAGAGCCGTCCTGGGCTCTCCTGACTCCTTTCTTCTTCTCCAGCTCAGCCTTCCCTGTACTCAGCCTCTCCTCGGAACGGACGCACGGAGGAGGAAGGGTTGGCTAAGGGCTTCCTGACCGGCTGGTTACCGGTGAGTCACTACTCTTTTTTCCAAGTCATTATTCCTTTGACCAGAAGCTGAATTTGTTCTCCTCCGGTGCCCCGGAGCCTCATGGCCAAACAAGGCGTCCAGAGGGCCCCGGGTCTCCGGGCATCTGATGGAGGGTCAGGGGCCCCCCAGGCAACGTCGTGTTTGTCAACGTTTTCTACGTTGCCAAGGTTCCTCCAGGGTCACCGTCTCCGTCACGTTCCGCAGAGAGGTTTTTAGGGGAGACTGAGGAAGACCTGACTGTGTCCTAAACTCAAGTACTTGGTGACAGCTGTGGGGGAGTCGCTCATTCATTTACCAGGTGTTTCTCTGACCTCTGCCATGTCCCCGGCCTCTACTCAGCCCTGCAGATGGAGGGAGATCAGCTTGCAGGATTTCACAGTCTCACTGGAATAAGAGAATCACCTCTGTGTTAGGGGCACGTTCCCCGTGGGAGCGGGCATAAGTAGACAGGGAGGAGCACCGCAGGCTGAGCCCAGAAGCGGTTGAGAGCAGAGCTCAGAACCCGGCCCGCACATCTCGCGCTTTGGGTTCCCGGCCCCTCGTCCCATCGTCCTCTGCCCTTCTCCTGCCCGCTCGGCGGGGACGGTCCTTGCCTAAGCCGTGATGTTTGTGACGGTTCAGCACTCGGTGACCTTCGAGGATGTGGCCGTGGAGTTCACCCAGGAGGAGTGGGCCCTGCTGGACCCTTCTCAGAGAACACTGTACAGAGACGTGATGCAGGAGAACTGCAGGAACCTGGCCTCGCTCGGTAAGCCCGACCTCATCCCCGCGTATACTTAGTCCCGTAACGAGACTTTGTTTGTCGTAGACTCTGGGTCTAGAGTTCTTTCTCGCCCAGCAAGAGAGCGGGACACAGGATTAAAAAATGTGAGAGAGATGGCTCATGTCCAGGAGAAGCCAAGAGCCCCGATTAAGGGTCCTTGCTCCATTATTATTAGGATCATAAGGCTTACAAACGTGGCAATGGACGTGCACAAGGAGACCATGAATCTGTGAACATTAACTCATAGGCGTGAGGGAAATGGGGTCTTGAAGATATGCGGGGTTAGGGGTTTGGGTTGATACAAAACAAAGTCCTGGCACCTGGCCGAAGGTTGTTTACAGCAGATGTGAGGCCCCACCTCTGTTTACCTAAACTTGCCGAGGGGGACCAGAAAGACAGAGCATGCTACCTCAGGGTCACCAAGGCACCTTTCTTTTGCTAATTAGCTCGGCTCTGGGCGACTTGGCCCAGCACTGGTCTAAAGTCCTGTTTTCCTGTTTTTACTCTTCCTCCCAGTGAAAGCAGCTTTCTGATACAGTACTAACTTGGGGGGCACTTCCGCCCTGAACATATAATCTTGTTTACCTCATACACCTTTGGTCTATCCTGGAGCCTTTGCCCCGCCCTCTCTATACCTATTTACCTAATCTTGTTTACCCAAACTTGGGTGTGAACATCCTATGGCTGTCTAATTCTTTCTGCCTTGTTAACCCATCGGTGCAAGCCCAGGGAATTCCTAAACTTATTCCCCACAATATTCCCCACATTATTGTCCTTTTTTTTTTTTTTAATTGAGGTGACATTCCATAACATAAAAGTCAGTGTTTTAATTATTAAAAATTTCCTTTAATGTTTGTTATTTTTGAGAGAGAGAGGGAGAGACAGTGTGTGAGTGGGGGAGGGGCAGAGAGAGGCACACACACAGAATCAGGCTCTGTGTCAGGCCCCAGGTTCTGAGCTGTCAGCACAGAGCCCAACGCGGGGCTGGAACTCACAGAACTGTGAGATCGTGACCTGAGCCAAGGACACTCAACCTACTGAGCTACCCAGGTGCCCCTGTTTTAGCTATTTTTTTTAAGTGTTTATTTTACAGAGATTGAGAGACAGAACACAAGCAGGGGAGGGGCAGAGAGAAAGGGAGACACGGAATCCGAAGCAGGCTCCAGGCTCCGAGCTGTTCAGCACAGAGCCCGACGTGGGGCTCGAACTCACAAACCGTAAGATCATGACCTGAGCCGAAGTCGGATGCTTAACCGACTGAGCAACCCAGGAGCCCCTGTTTTAGCTGTTTTTAAGTGCACAATTCAGTAACTTTTGACATAGTAGTATTGTTGTGCAACCATCAACGCTATCTAATGTCAGAACATTGTCATCACCCCTCACCCCCTCCTCGGGAAGTGGCCAGGACCCGTTACCTTCCCCACAGCCCCCTGCTGCCAACCACCCATTTGCCTTCCATTTCTCTGGGTTTGCCTGCTCAGAACATTTCCTGCCACCGGCATTGTGATCTCTTTGGTCTGGCTCCTTTCAGGCAGCGTAATTAATGTTCGAAGGTCTAGCAGTGTTGCACCATTTTGTGGATTGGCCACGTCTTTAAAATTCACTCATGGGTTGATACACATTTGGGTGGTTTCCATTTACTGGCTGTTACAAACCTTGCTGCTGAGAATATTGGTGCACGGTTTGTGCAAACATGCGCTTTCGGCTTTCTTGGGTATGTGTCGGAGCGGAATGCTGGGTCATATATCAGTAGGTTTAGCTTTTTGAGGAACTGCTGAACTGTCTTCCCCAGGAGCTGCGCCAAGGTGGGAGGGTTCCAATTTCCCATCTGCCCCAACGTTTGTGCCTCTGATGGTAGCCGTCTTCACGGTTATGAGGCAGTATTTCTTTTCATTGTCGCCCTGATTTGTGTTTCCCTCATGACTGATGACATTGAGCACTTTTTCATGTGTCGGCTGTTCTGGATCTTCTGTGGAGAACGTCTGTACAAGTCCTTGGCCCGGTTTGGAATTCGGTTGCTTGTCTTTGTTCTTGGATTATACACATTCATTATATGTCGTGAATACTGGTCCCTGTCCAGAATATGATTCGGAAATAATTTCTCCCAGTTGGTGGCGTATTTTCATTTTCTTGATAGTGTCCTTTGACACACAACAGTTTTAATTTTTTTTAAGTTTGTGTTTGAATTCCAGTTAGTTAACATACAGTGTAATATTAGTTTCAGGTGTACAATGTATTGATTCAACACTTCCATACCACACCCGGTACTCATCACGACAAGTGTGCCTCTTAATCGCCATCCAAACCGCCCTCCCCCCCACAACACACACGCTCACCTCCCTTCTGGTAACCATGAGTTTGTTCTCTGTGGTTAAGGATCTGTTTCTTGGTTTTCCCCTCTTTCTCTCCTTCTCTCTTTTTTCCCTTTGCTCATTTGTTTTGTTTCTTAAATTCCACGTGTGAGTAAAATCATGTTTTTCCAAAGAAGACATCCAGACGGCCAACAGACCCACGAAAAGATGCTCAACGTCACTCACCATCAGGGAAATACAAGTCAGAACCATGATGAAACACCACCTCACACCTGTCAGAATGGCTGAAACCAACGACACAAGAAACGACAGGTGTTGGGGAGGATGTGGAGAAAGGGGACCCTCGTGCGCTGATGGTGGGAAGGCAAAGTGGCACAGCCCCCCTGGAAAACAGTTCGGAGGTTCCTTAAAAATAGGACTACCCCATAATCCAGCAATTGCTCTACTAAGCATTTACCCAGAGGATACAAAAATACTGATTTCGAAGGAGCACACACACCCCAACGTTTATAGCAGCACTATCTACAATTCCGACTTATGGAAACAGCCCAAATGTCCATGGACAGATGAATGGATGAAAAAGACGTGGTGTGTGTGTGTGTGTGTGTGTGTGTGTGTGTGTGTAGACACACACAATGGAATATTACTCAGCCATAAAGAATGAAATCTTGCCACTTGTAACGAAGTGGATGGAGCTAGAGAGTATTATGCTAAGTGAACTAAGAGGGAGTTTTAATTTTTATGAAGTCCAATTTATCTCTCTTTTTTTTTCTTTTTTTGCTTGTCCTTTGCGATCATACCTCAAAAATTCTTGCCAAATCCACCAAGGCCATGAACATTTACCCCTGTGTTTTCTTCCAGGAATTTTCTAGTTCTCTTCAATTAGGTCTTTGGTCCTTTTGGAGATAATTTTTTATGTGGTTTCGTTCTTTTGTCTCTCTTTATTACCCAGTTGCCCATCATTGCTGTAGAAGACTGTTCTTTCCCCCAGTGAGTTGTTTTGCTGCCTTGTCCAAAGTTGTGTGACCACAGACTTTACGAGTTTACACTCACTCGGTTCTCGTCCATTGATCTCTGCATCTCTCCTTGTGCAAGTACTGTAGTGCGTTCTTTACTATTGCTTTGAAGTAAGCTTTGATGTCAGGAGGTGTGAGAATTCCTAATTCGTTCTTTCTCAAGACTGTTTTGTCTGTTCAGCATCCCTTGCAAATCCATGTGAGTTTAAGGATCAGTTTGTCCATTTCTGCAAATAAAAGCTGTTGGAATTTTGGTAACAATTGCACTGAATCTGTCGACCGCTTTGGTTGTATGGAAGCGACGAACCACGGGAATCTACCCCCAAAACCAAGAGCACACCTTACATACTGTATGTTAGCCAACTTGACAATAAATATATTTTAAAAAATTTATAATTCTGTTGTAATTGATCTGTAATTGTTACATCTTCTAGATATTTTGACCTTTTAATCACTACATAAGATCATTCTTTGTGTCTTGTAGCAGTTTTTGTCTTAAAGTCTATTTTGCCTGAAATTAACATAGCTACACTCTCTTTTGGCAGCTGTTTGCATGGAATCTATTTTTCCATCTATTGACTTTCAACCCCTTAGTGTGTTTTTTTGTTTGTTTGTTTGTTTGTTTGTTTTTGCTTACCTCTTTTTTTTTTGTATATTAAGTATAATTTATTGTCAAATTGGTTTCCATACAACACCCAGTGCTCATGCCAACAGGTGCCCTCCTCAATGCCCATCACCCACTTTCCCCTCTCCCCCCCCCACCAACCCTCAGTTTGTTCTCAGTATTTAAGAGTCTCTTATGTTTTCCTCCCTCCCTCTCTCTTTTCCCCTTCCCCTCCCCCATGGTTTTCTGTTAACTTTCTGAGGATCCACATATGAGTGAAAACATACGGTATCTGTGTTTATCTGCCTGACTTATTTCACTTAGCATTAATACCCTCCAGTTCCATCCATGTTGCTGCAAATGGCCAGATTTCATTCTTTCTCGTTGCCAAGTAGTATTCCATTGTATGGTAACCACATCTTCTTTATCCATTCGTCAGTTGATGGACATTTAGGCTCTTTCCATAATTTGGCTGTTGTTGAAAGTGCTGCTATAAACATGTGGTACATGTGTCCCTATGCATCAGCACTCCTGTGCCCCTTGGGTCAACTCCTAGCAGTGCTATTGCTGGGTCATAGGGTAGTTCTATTTTTAATTTTTTTAAGAACCTTCACGCTGTTTTCTAGAGCGGCTGCACCAGTTTGCATTCCCACCAGCAGTGCAAGAGGGTTCCCGTTTCTCCACATCCTCTCCAGCATCTATAGTCTCCTGATTTATTCATTTTGGCCACTCTGACTGGCGTGAGGTGATATCTGAGTGTGGTTTTGATTTGTATTTCCCTGATGAGGAGTGACATTGAGCATTTTTTCACGTGCCTATTGGCCATCTGGATAGTCTTCTTTAGAAATGTCTATTCATGTCTTCTGCACATTTCTTCACTGGATTATTTGTTTTTTGGGTGTGGAGTTTGGTGAGTTCTTTATAGATTTTGGATACTAGCCCTTTGTCCGATATGTCATTTGCAAATATCTTTTCCCATTCTGTTGGTTGCCTTTTAGTTTTGTTGGTTGTTTCTTTTGCAGTGCAGAAGCTTTTCATCTTCATGAGGTCCCA